TTTTTTTTTTTGAGGTTATAATTTTTTAGGTTTTTTTGTTTGCGGTTATATTTTTTTTTTTTTGAGGTTATAATTTTTTAGGTTTATTTGTTTGCGGTTATATTTTTTTTTTGTGTCCCGCTATAAGCGTATGCTTTCACAAACAAACAACAACTAGTGTATTTAATGCTAATGAACTTTGAGCACGCAAAGGCAAAAGAATAATGCCAGCATAATAAGTGTAGCAAATACACGAAAGATAGAAGTATGTATCTGAAAATACAACAACATCAAAGTACAATTCTCAAATGATAAAGAAACAACGCATTTGAGACTTAATTGCGGGATTGCTACTGTGTGTAATACATTTGTATGCATGTGTGTACATTCACACGTACTTGCCACCGATCAGGCAGATTGACACCAGTCACGCCGCTTTGTGAAGCAACAAGCTGCAAGCTTTACACGTACTCGCTACATTTGAATACACATGTACATATCGCTCTTTGATTACTCATACCCGCCATTGTTGGCCAAATGAAAAATGCAAAGTGTTATAATTTTGCTTACTAGAACAACGCCTGCCCTCCCTAATAGCCGAGAGTAATGAGGTCAGCATAAAAAAGTGCCACCAGTGGGTAATAACGAATTGGAGAATGTTGAAATTTAAATGAAGTAAACCAACGGCCAAAACTAATGCACCGACCGGGTGTAATAAACTACGAGTATGTTAATTTGAGAAGCGAAAACTACAAGTAACAAAAAACAAGAAAAAACGTTACCTTCGTTTGCGCCGAAGCTATAACACCCTTCACAAATACAAAGGCTCCTTACAAGAACTTGATTTTGACTAGTTTTCGGAGATTACAGTGTTGCCTAAAATAAAAAAGTTTCCCATACAAGTACTTGATTGCGATTGTTCAGTTTGTATGGCAGCTTATTAGTGAGAAAGGAACAAGTGCAAAATTTCATCGATAGCTTAAAAATTGAAGGACTAGTTCGCATATATATAGACGGACGGACAGACAGACGGATATGACTAAGTCAACTCAGCTCTACATACTGATCATTTATGTACATATTTTATAGGGTCCCCGACGTTTCCTTCTGTGTGTTACAAACTTCTTGGCAAACTTAATATACCCTGTTCAGGGTATAAAAACAACAATTAAATAATAAGACCTTGGAAAAACTAAGGCATACGCATACATATAAATTTTATTGATGGTTAGCGCAAAAAAAAAGCACGAAATGAGAGCTGTAACTAGTTAACTGTACAACTAAGAAATAGCGCAATAGAGGATTAACAAATATCGGTCGTTACTGGAATCTCCAGCACACCGAGTACCATCACAATGACCGCTTCATTCTAGGGAATATTCACCAAATTAAATTGGTTTGGTAACTTGGCAAGCAGCACAAGCGGTGAAGAGTAGAAAAACGAACAAGCTATTTGACTCTCAACAAATTGGTATAACGAACGCATAAAACGCACTCTTATCTCATTTGACAACAGATAAGATGATAAGACTTGACCTTTGACAAAAAACGAAGGATGTTATCAACCAGAAATCACTTCAAAATAGATTTATTTTTGCGCGTTAAGGATTAAAAATAATACAAATTCAGAACACAAAAAAAAAAAAAAATCTTTATAAGTAACAAAATG